CTGGTCGGGCTGCAGCAGCTGACCAGCACCGATTGTCTGGCACTCCCTAGTGAGATGAACCCAGTACCTCTGTTGAAAATGCAGAAATCACCGGTCTTCTGTGTCACTCGCACTGGGAGTTGGAGACTGGAGCTGTTCCTATTCGGCCATCTTGCTCCGCCGGGGCCTCTCTCTTTTTTTTAGACGGAGTTTCACTCTGTCACCAGGCTGGAGTGCAGTGGCGCAATCTCAGCTCACTGCAACCTCCGTCTCCTGGGTTCAAGCAATTCTCCTGCCTCAGTCTTCCAAGTTGCTGGGACTGCAGGCACGTGCCACCACGTCCAAGTCATTTTTGTGTTTTTAGTGGAGTCAGGATTTCACCATGGTGGCCACAATGGTCAGGATGATCTCTTGACCTCGTGATCTGCCCGCCTTGGCCTCCCTCAGTGCTGGGATTACGGGTGTGAGCCACCGCACCCAGCCAGGATGCTTTTTATTAGCATGCTGTTTATCAACCAGGTTTCTGTCCTGGATAAAGCAAGGGAGGAACCCTAAAGTTCAGGTCAATCTTTGTAGAGTCAATTAGCTCTGGGGACTGATTCTCTTGCTGTCACAGCATCCTCATTCCCATCACAGAATGACCCTCACCAGCCTGCGAGTGGCTAGAATGAGTGCTAATGAGCACCCCTTTTTGAATTTGGGTCTCCAGAAGCTTCATTTCAGCTACAGTCCATAGTCTTAGGCAAGAACTCATCAGCAGCTCTGGGACTGTTGTGTGATTTATGGCTGCTGGTTGCCCAGTCTTTCCTGATGTCAATCGTGGTCTGACCTGGACAAGGGCAGGCTTGCCAAGTAACATTGGGAAAATAGAACATGGCTCTCCAGGTACCTGGCTCGCTCCTTCCTTCCTTCCTTCCTTCCTTCCTTCCTTCCTTCCTTCCTTTCCTTCTTTCTTTCTTTCTCTCTCTTTCTCTCTTTCTCTCTCTCTCTCTTTCTTTCCTTCTTTCCTTCTTTCTTCCTTCTTCTTCTTCTTATTATTATTATTGTTATTATTATTATTATTATTTTAGTACAGATGGGGTCTTGCTATGTTTCCCAGGTTGGTCTTGAACTCCTGTCTCCCACATTGACCCCCTAAAACTGCTAGGATTACAGAGGGGCAGGCATCATGCCCAGCCTCCCCTACCCATTTCTAACCCTTTAGCCTGACCGTGCTCAGCCTGGGTCAATGAACTGACAAGCCAACTGTGTACAAAATCGTGGTGTTTTACCCTAGATAAGGCTGCCAATTAGAACATCTTCCTGATGTATTAAAGCAAGAAAAATGGCTGCCAGCCACACTGTGCTGGAAGGCAGAAGCCTCAAGTTCTGGTTCTGACTTTGCCATTGAGTTACTGTGTAACCTTAGGCAATCCTTCCCCGTCTCTGGGCCTTAATTTCTTCTGGGAATAAAGAACGGACTTGGTTGAGCCTATGTATTAGTCTGCTTAGGCTGCCAGAACAAAATATCACAGACTGGGTGGCTTGAACAACAGAAATCAATTTAAGATCGTGAGACAGCATTAATCTCACAGGGTTATTTTGAGAACTGAGATCCTGCATACAAAACTCTCGGCATAGTGTTTCCCACACAGTAAGCTCTCAGTAAATATTTGTCAATGAATTTATGAAGAAATAAAAGTGGAAAATGCAAATAAGTAAAAACACTGACAAGGTTACAGCCAGAAAATGGCTGTTGTAATTCTAATTAGATATATAGCCTTCCAGTATTTTCCTATGCAGACAAATACATATGTCACTACTAAAATGGGATATTATACTTATCTAGATATTCCAAAAATATTTCATTATTTTAATGAAATATAAGTCACAAACCATAAAATTCACCTTTTTAAAGTGTACACGCTAGTGGTTTTTAGTATATTCCCAGAGGTGTGCTAACATCATCACTATTTAATCCCAGAACATTTTTACTACCCCCAAGATAAAACTCATGCCCATTAGCAGTCATTCCTCATTCCCGTCTCTTTCCCCTTCCAAAGTCCCCGGCAACACCTTTCTGTCTCCATGGATTTGCCTATTCTGCCTAATATGCCTATTAAATATTAAATTAATATGTAATCTAAATTACATATAAAAAGCATCATACAACGTGTGACCTTTCGTGGCTGGCTTCTTTCCTTTAAAATGTTTTCCAGCTTCATCCACGTTGTAGCGTGTTCTTCTTATGGCTGGATGATATGCCTCTGCATGCATAGACCACACTTCATTTCCACATTCATCAGGTCATGGACATTTGGGTTTTTTTCTACTTTTTGGTTAGTATGAATGACACTGCTCTTTGTGTACAAGTTTTTTTATGGACATGTTTTCAGTTCTCTTGGGTAGCCACCTAGGAGGGGAATTGCTGGGTCATATGGAGATTCTATGTAGAACTTTCTGAGGAGCTGCCTACACCACACAACAGTTTGTAACCTATTATTTTCTCCTTTCATAATGCATCCTGTCTTCATTGTTAGCAAATAGCTGTGCACATCACTATTTTGAGTGAATACATCATATCTCCTTAGCCAGCTGTACCAGAGTGTGTTTAGTGAATTCCCTATTGTTGGACATTTAGTGATCCCATGAAAGAGGCTTTAAGTGACTTCCTTGTGTCCCCAGCAGCTTGTAAATGACAGCTTTCCAGGTGTGCCCAGAGCACTCTGCATCACCCTGATTCGGTGATTTCACATTGCCTTGACATCACCCCTGCTGCTTCTCCACCCCATCTGTCTTGTCTACCAATGGAGGTCCCTTCAGACACTGAACCATGTCTTGAATTGGCCTTTGTATCCATTATATGTGGCCAGGTGCCAGGCATTGTGGTAAATGTTCACAGAATGGATGGGTACATGAATGGATGAATGATTAAAGCCAGGGGCTATTGAGAGATGGAATCATTTTTACATTCTGTCCAAAAATTCCTGCTTTGGAAGATAGTGATTTACCTGACATTGGAGCTGTGTGACAGAAGGCTAGGCCAGTTGGCAGGATATTGTGAAGCTAATTCAGGCATTAGAAAGGAGACTGGTAAAATTTAAGATCGCTTCCAAACTTGAGAACCTGGAATGCTAGGAAACACAAGCCCTGGGAGCTGAGATGTGTGCGAAGTTACCCAGCTGAGCTGTGGGACTGTGAGTGGCTCTAAAATTTTTAAACTTTTTCTGAGGATCTCAGACCAAAGTATCCCTTTGCCTAAAAGCATCCGCCTGCTGGTGCGGGCCTTTCGGGGCCTTCACAGTGTACTGAAGTTAGAGTCCTGCAAGGGAGAAACCCTTATACAACAAGTAGTTGGTAGAATTTATTAGCTCTCTGTAATTTGAGAGTGTCGACCAGACTGGTTTGGTGAAACAGGCCAAGGTGCTTTTACTGCGGCTTCCAAGGATAGAAGAGGAAAGGCAGGACAGGCAGGCTGAGAACTGGCGAGATGGGACTGTAGGTAGGCGTCGCCCAGGGAGTTCTGGAGATAGGGAAAGCTTTTCTGAAATTTCACAATTAGAGCAGGGCGGTAGCTCAGGGCGGGGCTGAGCTCCTGGCTGGACAGCGCAGTCCCGATCAGCTACAAGAAGACCTTGCAGGCCCCGAGACCAGTCGTCCTTCCAGGATGTGGCTCCGCGCTCTTGTCCTGGGCACTCTCGCTGCTTCCACGGTTTGGGGTGAGTCCTTCTGAAACATAAAGATGCTGGGCACTTTTTGAAATCCTTGTTCTGGGCCGCAGGTGCGTAAAAAGGTGAGGTGGACGCAGATGCGCAAAAAGGCAGACACAACAGGTCCAGCTCCGCGGTGGTGCGCCCCCTCCGGGCTTGAACTTGGACTTGGAGCAACTAAGCCCAGTCAGCCTGGCCCGGGCGGAGACGCAGAGAAGGTGAACACACTGAAACCGCCCTGCACTGCTTGCCCCAAGGAGGCCGGCGGCCGGACCACCTCACGCCGCACACACGAGAACTTCAGGCAGCTCAGTTGGCCATCCCCAGGCTGAGGACTGGCGAGTTGGGATAATTCAGGGGTCTCTGGGGCACAGGGGCTGTTCCTAGTTGTCTGGTACCTAGTTCTGGCATAATTAGGGCGAGTGGGTAGTGGCCAGGGAATGGCAACCCGATCAAAGAGGCGGTTGGGGTGTGGGCTCCGGGTTGGCTGGACCCTGGGAGGGACAGTTTCTCCAATATCAGCAAAGCCTCAGATGCCAGAGCATCAGAATACAGGAAGCAAAACACATGGTACATAGAGGGGGTGCAGCGAGGGGCCTCAAAATACCCCTGTGCCACTTTATAGACAGAGAAACTGAGACTCACATAGGGAAATGTAGTACAAATCATGCCTGGGTCTGTCTCTGGGTCTTGAATCCTGACAGCCCAGGCCCCATCTGCATCCTGTCTTCCTTCTGGCAGCCTGACACTGTGAGAGCTCTGGAACTGTGGGGAAGGGCAGAGGAAGAGAGGAACCCTACTTGGAGCTGAATATTCCTTTACTTCTGGTGACTCCTGGCAATGCCATCCATTTCCTTCCTTAGGAAGACCATACAGGCTGCCTCCACTTCCTTAATTTCCTTCTCTGTAAATTGGGCATGTTGATGCCTACCCAGCAAGGCTTTTTTGAAGATTAAACAAACTGGAATGCATGCCTGACACATAGTAGGTGCCCATCATGTTCATGCTTCATATAACGTCAGCGACAACTGCTCTTGTTCCCATTCTTCTTTCTGCTTCCCCCATTCACCCACTTTTTCATGCTTGGCAATCTGGCTGCCATGCACCTCATCCTGCTGAATGAATCCCTGAGCTGAGAAAGACCAGCCCAGTGGTTTCTCTGCCTTGATCCTCCTCCACTTCCCTGAAGTCCTCAGCAATCTTAGCTCGCACCTTGTCCTCTTCTCCCTGGACTTCCAGGATGCTGGGATGTTCTCTCCTTCCCACTCTGATGGATCTTTGGTCTTGGCTGTAGTGGTCCCTGTGTTTGATCTTTGTTTTCTTCCCTTCCCTCTCACACTGGCATCTTCGATGAAGCCATACACATCCATGGTGTGTACCCTCACCGTCTAGGAGAAAATTCTACCCTGCTCTCTCACCAGGCTTCCTTCCAGTCTTGAAGTGCCCACGTCTTGTGGCACCATCTTGCCAGGATAACCCACTGACATCTCCACTGAGCCTATGTAAACAGGGATCCAGCATCACAAGCCAGCTCTTTGGTCTTCATCTTCCATGTCCCCCAAAACTGATCAGGGACCAAGTTTTTCTTTCTTTTCTTTTTTAGATGGAGTCTCACTCTGTCACCCAAGCTGGAGTGCAGTGGTGCAATCTCGGCTCACTCCAATCCCCGCCTCCTGGACTGCTGCCTCAGCTTCCCAAGTAACAAAGATTACAGGCGCACGCCATCATGCCCAGCTAATTTCTGTATTTTTAGTAGAGATGGGGTTTTGCCATGTTGGCCAGGCTGGTTTCAAACACCTGACCTCAAGTGATCTGCCCTCCTCGGCCTCCCAAAGTGCTGGGATTACAGATGTGAGCCCCTGTGCCCAGTCTCCAAGTCTTTCAAAGTACCTTTTAGACATCATCATATTTCTTCATAAATATTTTCTTTTTTATTTAAAATTTTAAAATAATTAATATGGGGCTGGGAAGGATTTCAGGTGAAGACTAGAAATCCCATACAGTGCGGAACACATGGAAATCACCAAGAAAATAGGCCACCTGTAATGCCACCACCCACTGCTATGTTGATAAACATGCTTCCAAGAAAATTATCTCAATATTATTTGTAATTAGCAACAACAGAAGAAAACAAGTTAACTATTCTCAGTGTGGGGCTGGCTGGTAATGAGACATGGATGCTGTTGTGCATCTGGGCTTTGCATAGGGAGTTTCCATTGCGATTGGATATTCCCCTGTAAGATCAAATCTGAATTGTTCTGTTCTGCTCTGGCCCCACTTTGATGGAGATATTGCCTTCTTGCCTATATCCAAAACAGAGCAACTGAGAGGACAAGAGTTTGGAAATCATTTCGTAGGAGGGAAGCTTAGACAAATAGAGGTCACTGGAGTCAGACAGGACCTGAGGGGTGGGTGGCGTAATCAAGTGTCTGAAAGGCCACAGGCCAGTGCGGTCCCATGACAGATAGAACCAAGACTGATGCGGAGGCTGGGAAATGAATTTCAGCTCAATGAGGAAGCATTGTCTGTGCTGCAAGAATGGATCAGATATGCCCAGGGCCACCAGAAAAATGTTCTTCGACTTGATCATTTCCCTTATCTGGAATGGTCCCTGCTGCTTATTTGTCCACTAAAGAAAACTCAAGCCCTTAGCCTGGCATTCTAGGCCCTCCCTGACATGCGCTGTCTCATTCCAGGAATATTTTCCACTCCCTTCAGACACCACCTGGTGCATGTGGGCCATGCCCCCTTCCCCAGGCAGGCTCTGCATTCTGCTGCTCTGAGCCTCACCACATTCCCTTCTCTCTGCTCGGTACCACTCCCTGCGTCTCATCTCCCCTTATTCAATCCTTCCCTACTGCAAGTCCCAGCTCCTCCATGATGTCCGCAATCAGAAGGCCTTGCCCCCTCTTCTAATTCCTAGACTGCCTTATGAGTACCTCTCCCAGGACACAGTCGCTTCTTTCCCGTCTGTAGGCCCAGGTGTATAAGTGACCCTTCCCTACAAGGGTCAATGCATCTGAGAATACGGAGCACCTCTTGTTCATCCTCTCATCCAGCATGCGGCTCAGTGCCAGGATTCTAATGGGTAAATGTTTCCAGAGGCTTCTAAGGGGGAAGCTAAATATCTAGTTCTTTCCTAGTAGTTCTCCTTCTTGCATTTATTTTTGGCTGAATGTTTTTATGCCTCCAAATCTAATTTGCACTTTAAACCACCTCAGTTAGTAAGGGCAGTGATCCTCATCCCTATTGTACATCAAAAGAAATTGAGGCCTAGAGGGTTTCGGTGACTTATTCAAGGTCATGCACTTAGAAAGTGGCAAACCCCACCTGGAATCCGGGTCCAGCCTTTTGCCTCTGATGCATCCTGATTTGTTCTCCACGTCCAGCAGGGTACCCGTCCTCGCCACCTGTGGTGGACACCGTGCATGGCAAAGTGCTGGGGAAGTTCGTCAGCTTAGAAGGATTTGCACAGCCTGTGGCCGTTTTCCTGGGAATCCCTTTTGCCAAGCCCCCTCTTGGACCCCTGAGGTTTGCTCCACCACAGCCTGCAGAGCCATGGAGCTTCGTGAAGAATGCCACTTCTTACCCTCCAACGTAAGCCAGGGGTGGCTGTGGCATGTGTCTGTGGGGAATGTTTGCCTCAAAGTGATGCAGGAAGGAGTCAAGGCAGTCCCCTGATGGGTTGATCCTTTGCTCTGGAATCCTTAAGATCATTGTAGATCCTTAAGAACATTCCAGAAGTCTCACAGCATTCTGGAGTCCATTATTTAACACGTTTATTGAGCACCTACTGTGTGCCAGGCATGTGTCTGGGTTCTTGGGATCCATTAGTGAACAAAGCAAAGACCCCTAGGTTCATGGAGCGTGCATTCTAGCAGCGGGAGACAGAGAAGAACAACATGCAAATTACCCCATGGAGTATTTGATCTGTTAGAACGGGATAAGTGCCTTGGAAACAAAGAAGCAGTTAAGCAGGTGAGGGAGATCAGAAAGAAGGATCCCATGAATTCCGCTGTCTTGAATTTTGACACAGTGGGGAGAAGGGAGGGCCAGGAGGTGTGTGGGTGGCAAGTGAACTGAGGTGTCCTCTTGGCAAGTGCTCAACTCTCAAGTGTGCCCAGTTCCGTATTCCTGAGGAGAACGATGGCAGGTGTGTCCATTCACCCTGGCCAGGCTGGGAAGAAAAGCCCAAAGGTTCTTTTTTATTATTCCCAAAGGTTCTAATTGGCCTCACCGCCACTCCCCAGGGTACCAAGGACCCTACAGGCATCAGAGGAAACCCCATGCATCTCAGCAGCCAGGTATTCAGCGGTTTTCCAGCAGCCCACCTCTGGTTGCCTTCTTTTCTTTCCTTTTTTTAAAAAATAGTATTTTCTGTTTTTATTTTCTGACTGCAAGTATAGTATATACTTATTACAGAAAATTTAGGAAATTTAGATAAGGAAAAGTAAGAAAATTAAAATCACATACAATATCCCACCACTCAAAGAGAGCAGCTGTCAATATTTTAGATGGTACAGTATTATGATCTAATGTTTTGTTTGTATTCCAGTTTTTTGGCCTGTTGCTATACTTTCTTTCTTTAAAAAGGAGTGCTATGTTCAGATAATTTGGATGCTTGCTTTGCTCATTAAGTATATCATGAGCATCATTCTATGCCATTAAATGGCACAGCCTGATGTTAGCAGGTGCATTATATTTGGTATTGCACCATAATTAATTTCCCCAAGCTTTTATCTGGGGTCATTAAGTTACATATGATGTTTTTGATAATATAGGGAGCACTGTGATGAATATTTTGTAGTGAAACCTTTATGCCAATGAATGAATATTTTAGGATAAGTTCCCAGAAGTTATATTTCTGAGTCAAAAAGTATATATGTTTTGTTAAAATTCCCTGCCAAAATATTCCAACTACACTTCTCCCATTGATGGACAAAAATCTCCATTCATTAGATTTTTTTGCAGTGCTTCGGGTTATTAAAATTGTTTTTGGTTATTCGATAGGCAAAACGATGATAATAATAGCAATCTTATTTTCCTCTTTAGTTTGCATTTATGCAAAGACCAGTGAAGTTGAGTTCTTTTTCCCTTTCTTCACATTGGAATGTCTTTTGATTATTATTATTACTGTTACGCCGCTTGTACTGGGTGTTCTGTAGGAAAATCTCCCAGGATGGAAATCAAGAAGTCATCTTTGCGGGCTCTGATTCTGTCACTTGACAGCTGTGTCATCCCAGAGCCTGAGTGCCTCAGTTTCCTCATGTACCTAGTGGGGGCGGTGACGCCTGCCTTCTGGTACTCTGAGGTCTGGGACTGTTGCTTATAATATACTTGTGTATAAGAACCACATGGCATGAATCTTCCTGGCTATGTAACCTTGGGTAGGTTCTCTAACCTCTCTGGGTTTCAGTTTTCTCATTTGTAAAAGGGAGATAATAGAACCTATGTAATGGGACTGATCTGAGGCTTAAATGAGTTAATATACAAAGGGTACTTAAAACAGTGCCTGGAACACTGGGAGGACTCAATAACTATTACCAATGTTCATCTATATTGTATCCTTGAGATCTTTCATCAGGGCCACCAACAGCACTTGCCTGGGATGGGTTGATGGTAGAGTCTTGGCATGTCAGGGCTGTAAGACCCATGTAGAAATCACTGCTCTCACTTAGACCTGGTAGATTTGGGACCCAGAATGCGAAAGGAATTCACCCAAGGTCACCCCGTAAATGCGTGGGAGAGACAAAACTAGAGCACAGTTCTCCTGATGTTGTCCCACAAAGATTTCACCCCTAAGATATTGTGAGAAATGTCACCATCCAGGAAGAATCAGTGTATTTGTTGTCTCCCCTCCTCAACGCTGGGAGTCCCAAAGGTTCTTGGAAGGAAAGAGGTGTGAAGCCCTTCTCACTTTGCTTGGTCTTAGGAGACCTTAGTGAGTCCCAGCGCCCCCACCTGAAGCCCCTGATAGACTCCTACCCACTACAATGTCGTGAGTCTGTAAATATCAAGTCCATTTTCAAGTTTAAACCTCCCAGTCCAAGGCCCTGCCAAAGAAGACTCCTGGCTTATAGCTGGCTGAACTTCAGGGGTTCTTCTTTCCCCATCCCCAGGTGCATCCAAGATCCCAAGGCGGGGCAGTTTCTCTCAGACCTATTGAGTAACAGAAAGGAGAACATTTCTCTCACGGTTTCCGAAGACTGTCTTTACCTCAATATTTACACTCCTGCTGACTTGACCAAGAAAAACAGGCTGCCGGTAAGCCGTGGGATCCCCTGGTCAAGGCCTGTCAGTTCCAGTACCCCGGATCTTCTAGTGTAGATCGGAAGGGGATGAAGGCAGCTTGGGGAGGGGGCTGCACAGGCCAGGACCTCAGGGCCTCCACAGGAAACACAGGTTTTCCACACCTCAGTTTCCCCTCGTGATACAGGAACTCTGGGGGAGTTTGCTGTGCATCTTTATGAACAGCTTAATTGTTCCAAGTTCCCTCATGCTAATAGAAGGATGTAAATGATTACTTTTAGTTATTAGATTAAAAAGCTGATACCCAGAGTGGGTAAGACATGATTTTCAATAATGTTAGCGGTGGAAGGAACTTAGAGAAAAGCCAACACCTCAACTCTTTCTTTTCAGATAGAGAAACTGAGGCCCAGACAGGGAAGAGGAGGTCACGCAGTAGGGTAGTTTTGGCTCAAGTCTTCTGATCTTCAAACCAGTGCTTTTGACACGGAGTAGGGCATTGAGATTTTATGTGGCCTTTCTCCAGTACACCAGCATTCGTCTGGTGTAACTTTCACTGTCTGGGTACAGATGTTGGGGGCGGAGCCTGGGACAATCCCAGAAGCTCTTTCTTTTGCCTTTGGCCAAATATCTGGGATTTTTTTGTACCTAATTTCCCTCCGTAATTGTCTTGATAAAGGCTGATGACCCAATGTGTCAGCATTTCCCAAATAAACAAAGGGCTGGAGATGGGGCAGGCTGCCAGCTGCAGGGTAGGGAGGGTCTCCTGGCAAAGAAGGCCACCCCAGGGTGGAAAAGGAAGGGGTGTCACATCCAACCAGTCTCCCAGGGGCACCCTGGCATGGTGCCCAGGAGTAGGGGAGCAGGTCTGCAAACGTGTGACTAGAAGTTGGTCCTACATGTGCTTTGTAAGACACAGGAAGTGGGAGAAAGGTTTACTCATTCATTCATTCATTCATTCTTCTATTTTGTACTCAGTGCCCCATATACACAGTTAGACCTGGGGCTTCAGGGAAAGGGGGAACATGAACCCACTCCACGCAGCCCCTACCTTCGAAGATCTTGCCATCTGGGCTGTAGAGACATATCCTCTCTTCAGCATATTATTGCAGGCCAGCCTGCGGGCTCAGCCTTCACACACAGATGAATGCACATTCAGTCCCTCCCCAGGAAGCAGGCAGGGATTAGATGTGTGGGAGAAACGGGAACTCTGGGAACCTGGAGGCAGGAGAACCTCCAGGAATGGTCACAGGTTCTAGAACTACACGTGCTTAGAACAGCACTTAGTACATGGTTTATGTTATGAGTTCTTTTATATTTCATGAATAATATTATTACAATATTATTATTTTAGTCACTCTCACTACTTCCCCACTATGTGGACTTTTAAAATGCAAGAACCTTGCATTAGGAATTGTACCTACTCTCATCTCAGGTATTAGCAGAGTTCCTGGCACATAGTAAGTTCTCAGACAGCGTTAGTCCATTGATTGAAGGCATCCTGAAGTGGGTGGGTTTTAGGCTGCGCTGTGCAGGATGGATAGGATTTGGGGATGCAGAGTCATAGAGGAGGCATTTAGGGAAGAGATACTATCACAGGTATGTGTGCTTCTTGAGGCAGTCATTCATGCACAGAGAAGTTTACTTCACCATGAGAGAGTAAATTGAGATGAAACTGAGATACAAGGGCTGCCCCATGGGTACGCTGAGTGCATAAACAGTCCAGGCTTGAGGGTGATGGGAGTGAGGGGGATAACACGACATCCTTAGCCTTTGCTATGCCCATGATGATGTTCTCAGCATGAAGAGCCTTGGGAGGAGGAGGCATTGGAGGCTGGGTAGAAAGAAAGGGGCAGCCAGGATATGTGCAGTGGGGTGGTGGCTCAGGCTCCGGTTGGGAGAATTTTGGAGGAGAGAGACTGGCTTTTGCAACCTTGCTGGGCGCTGGTGAACTTTGGGTAACATCCTCCTTTAGTTGTGACCAACAGGTAGGTCACCAAACAAAACACCCTCTGAGTGCTCTCTGGCTCTGTGTCTTTTAACTGGTATGTTGCTTCCTCCTGCCCAGGTGATGGTGTGGATCTTTGGAGGGGGACTGGTGGTGGGTGCAGCATCAACCTATGATGGGAAGGTCCTCGCTGCCCACGAAAACGTGGTGGTGGTGACCATTCAGCACCGCCTGGGCATCTTGGGATTCTTCAGGTAAGAAGTTAGACTCTCCTCACTGCACTTTGGCCCCCAACATGAGGCTGCTAGGACCCAACTCTGGTCATGTCAACCCTCAGGAGACCTTAGCTAGGTTCCTCATTGTAGCATACAAGCCTCATCATAATTGGACACTACCTACCCTCTCACTCCCCAGCCACACTCATCCACTTGCCTCTGAGCTTTTGCATGTGCTGTTCCTCTGCCTGGAATGCTAACTACCTGAGGAACTCCTCATCATCCTGCAAGACCCAGCCCCCAGTTACCTCCACTGAAAGACTCATCTCTTCTTCACCTATGTTTCTCCAGCACATTGAATTTCTCTGTCATGACACTTAGGAGGCAGCCCAGCTCTTGAAGGTTGACACATCTGACTTCTCATGGAAAGGAGGGAAGGGGCAGAGTCACAGAGGGAGCTCAGGGCATGTTGTGGGTGAAGAAATGGGGGCTGTAGATGGTGGGGTGTGGGAGCATCTGACCCCTTCCTGGAGGAGTGTTGGGGCCCACTCACCCCATTTTCTGCTTGAAATCTGGCAAGTGTAGGGAGCAAGGATGGAGTCTTCCCCATCAGGTTTCCATGGGGATAGGAGTCAGATCTCCTTCAAGGTACAAACTACTATGAACCTTTTCTAAGTGTTACCATCCCAGCACCCCAATCTTGAGTGAGTGCTGGGAGGGCTGTGGGAGGGATTCCCCTTACTGATGAATAGGCCTAGGGAGATGGAGGATGGCTTCTTGTCTACTGTCAGCTAGGCATCCCAGGTCAGTCTTGGCTGTATCACCTTCATCCCTTTTAGCCACAGGTTGTGTCTCTGCTCCCCATTATAATAAAGCTGCTTCATGATCTGTCTCCACTTCCTCTCTTCCGTATGTCTCCTCCACCCATGCCAGTCAGGTTTCTTCCCGGATACGCCACTCAGCTGGTCTCGCGGTCACCGATGACCTCCCCCTACTCTCCACCCAACCTCACAGCAACAGCCAATGGCCGCTCAGCCTCTGCGACATGCTTCCTTCCCAGTCCCTTTCCTGGTCCCTCCTCCTCCCTGTCCACAGGCCTCTCTTGTCTCCCTCTCCCTCTCTACTGATTTCCAGTGATCCCAGGGAGCAACCCAGAGCCCCCATTTCCAGCCCATCTCACCTTTGAAACCCGCAGGCATCACTTACTATCTTCTCCCCACCCCTGGCTGGTGCCAGAAGGAGGAACAAGCTGAATCCTTGACTCCCACTCCTCCTCCCACCACACCTCCACTCAGCTGCTGCTGCCCCATCCTCCTGGGGGCTCAGGAGAAAGCCCTGTGGGCAGCCTGGACTCTCTATTTTCTCATAACTCTGTTGGCTCCACCTTCAGAATCCACTACTTCGCACCTTCTCCCTGGCTCCTACCCCAGCCAAAGCTTTCTGTCTCTCACCTTGATTATGATCCTAACACTTACTTTCAGATACCTGCCACTTTTATCCTGAGGCTGAGTCGCACAGTACCAAGAGTGATAACTTAGCATGTGTGCTGAATCATGCAATGCCTCTGCACAAAACACTGCAGGGGCTTCCCATGTTCCTTACGATGACAGCCAAAGTTCTTATCAGGGCCCCAGGGCCCTCTCTAGCTGCACCTCCTGACTCACACTTTCCTTCACAGGGCCCCAGGGCCTTTGCCCTTGCTTTTTCTTCTACCTGGAATTCCTTTCTTTGGATATTTGCAAGGCTCATGTGCTTGTTGTGCTTGTTTTATGAAGGTCTTTACCTCCAAAACCTCAAATGCCACTGCCTCCAGAAGGCCTTCCCTGATTGCGATCTGAAATGGCACCCCCTGTCCCACCCCTGTTTTTTTCCTTACTCCATTGTATTTACCTCAATGCACTTTGACTACCGAAGATCATTATATTCTCTCTATAGATCTGTTTATCTGCTTGTGATCTGTAGTGGGAGCTCTGTGTCATCACAGGTTTTACCCTTTTTGCTCTCAGATGTGCTCTAGCTCATAGGATAGTGTCAAACACACAGTAGATGCTCAGTAAATAGTTGCCAGTTGAGTGAATGTAGAACCATACATCATCACTGCAGCAAGGCAAGGCAGGGTCTCAGAGATGCTGAAGCCCAGCCTTATTCTTTTTTTAATTAATTTATTTTTAAAATTATTTTTATTTAATTTATTTTTATTTTTATTTATTTAATTTAATAAAATTTATTATTTTTATTTAATTTATGATTTATTTATTTATTTTATTTTTATTATACTTTAAGTTCTAGGATACATGTGCACAATGTGCAGGTTTGTTACGTATGTATACATATGCCGTGTTGGTGTGCTGCACCCGTTAACTCGTCATTTACATTAGGTATATCTCCTAAAGCTATCCCTCCCCACACCCCACCCCACAACAGGCCCTGGTGTGTGATGTTCCCCACCCTGTGTCCAAGTGTTCTCAGCTCATTGTTCTCATTGTTCAGTTCCCACCTATGAGTGAGAATATGCGGTGTTTGGTTTTCTGTCCTTGCAATAGATGGCTCAGAATGATGGTTTCCAGCTTCATCCATGTCCCTACAAAGGACATGAACTCATAGCTCTTTATGGCAGCATAGTATTCCATGGTGTATATGTGCCACATTTTCTTAATCCAGAGTCTATCATTGACGGACATTTGGGTTGTTTCCAAGTCTTTGCTATTGTGAATAGCGCCGCAATAAACATACGTGTGCATGTGTCTTTACAGCAGAGTGATTTATAATCACTCTGGGTTTATAATCCTTTGGGATTTATAATCCTTTGGGTATATACCCATTTGTGGGATGAAGCCCAGCCTGATTCTTTTCTTTTTTTTTTTTCTTTTTTTTGAGATGGAGTCCTGCTCTGTCGCCCAGGCTGGAGTGCAGTAGCGCTATCTCAGCTCACTGCAAACTCCACCTCCCAAGTTCACACCATTTTCTTGCCTCAGCCTCCCGAGTGGCTGGGACTACAGGTGCCCACCACCACGCCCAGCTAATTTTTTGTATTTTTAGTAAAGATGGGGTTTCACCATGTTAACCAGATGGTCTCGATCTCCTGACATCGTGATTCACCCGCCTTGGCGCTCGTGGAGAGCCCCCAGCCCCATCTCTAGTCCTGAAGGTCCTGCCATGACATCTCTGCTCCCCACCCTCAACCTGTTCTCTTCCTCACAGCACAGGGGATGAACACAGCCGGGGGAACTGGGGCCACCTGGACCAGCTGGCTGCCCTGCGTTGGGTCCAGGACAACATTGCCAGCTTTGGAGGGAACCCAGGCTCTGTGACCATCTTTGGAGAGTCATCGGGAGGAGAAAGTGTCTCTGTTCTTGTGAGTGCTCCTGGCACCAGGCCCAACCCCATGCTTGATGTGATGCTGATGAGACCTCTTAGACACCTGTCAATCCAGCTATGCACACCTCTGCTTACAATACCTGTATTCAGGACCGACCCTACTCACTGTCCAGCATCAGGTGGTGGAAAGCTAAAAACCAAGCTTTCCTTGGCCCCCAGGAATCTGAGCTGAGCTTAATGTCCCAGGGCCCTATGTATCTCCAGTTGCAGCCTGCAATGGTGGCATTCCCCTCTTCTAGCTTGGTTGAGTTCTCTCTCTCTCTCTCTCTCTCTCTCTTTCTCTCTGTCTCTCTCTCTATCACTCATTTTAATATGAGGATTCACTTCCCTTCTCTTGGGAAGTAGGAATAGGCATAAATTATGAGTAAAGGCAGGCAGAGACAAGAGGTGGGCAGAGGTATTTGGCTCAAAGCCAGATCTACATGTGGAGGGGACATGGACACTGAGCAGGCTGGGGATTCCTCTGTGGTGGTCTGATGACTGGTTAATGCCTAAGAAGGAGGCAACAGTCTGTACGACTGAGACCAGGTGAGCTAGGGCAGGCGAGCTAGAGGAAGGAGGGATGGAGCTGGGGATAGGGAGGAATGGGGCAGGGGTTGTGGGACACAGACGCAACCTGGGGGTGTGAGGGGTCCTGCTGGAGTGGGGGATTGGGTGCGGGAGAAACTGGGGGAGCTGGGGTGAAAAACCAGATGAGAAGTACCGGGAGCCGTAGGAAGCCTCCCGCCTGCCACAAGGTGGGCAGAGGGTCAGCCCACTACTGGAGTCTTCACTCCTGTGTTGGTTTTGTAGTTGAATACACAGAGGAAAACATTTTTATACTTTTTAAAGTAGAGAAAAAGGAAAAATACAGATAAGCCCGAGAAAGACAAAAGCCATCTACAATCCCATAACCCAGGGATAGTCACTGTGCTCAGTTTGACATGGATTTTTCTAGTCTTCTTTTCCATGACTTTATATCTATCTGTCCATCCATCTATCCATCAATCTACTTATCAATAGGTCTATCATCTATTATCAATCTTTGTCTTTTTTATTTATGAAAATACTGTCCTGAATATTATAATACAACACAAACACTTTACTAAATATTAAATGTTGTCCCTTAATAATATATTTTACAGTTGTACAGTATTCCACGATAAGAATGAAAAACCATTTATTTGCCCAATCTCGTAATATTGGACCCTTGGGTTATGTCCAGTGTGTACCATTGTAAACAGCAGAGGCATCCTTAGAAATCTTTGTGTGCCTCCAGGATCATTTTATAGGATAAGCTCTGAGTAATGGAGATGCTGAATCAGAAGTTGTGGTTAGGAGATGCTAAGCTGCCTTTCCAACACCTTTGTTGGTTGGGCTCGGCTGCCACACACCTCCTGTCATGTCCCTGCCCTGTGCCCTGTCCTGATCCCACTTAGGTTCTCTTGGATGGGAGGTTCTCTTGGGTGGGAGGTGAGTCTGGCAAGCAGGCCAAGTGAGTGGAGGAGACACCGTGTCCAGTGACCCCCAGGATCTGAGGGGAATGGGCCAGGGCAGAGCTGGGGTGGATGTAGTCCGGAAGAGTGAGTGAGTAACTGACCCCACCCCTGAACATGAACTCTCCTCCCCTCCGTTCTGGTCCCAGATTTTCTCTCCATTGTCCAAGAATCTCTTCCACCGGGCCATTTCTGAGAGTGGTGTGGCCCTCACTCATGCTCTGTTGGAGGACGGTGACATCAAGCCCCTGGCTGAGGTAAGTCCCCCGCTGGACGCCCCCATCCCCTTGGTTCTATGCTCCTGAATCCTCAAGGGTCGCTCTTGCCATAGGTTCTAGCTGATATTCTCCTAGAACCACTGAAGCCCCAGCGGCTGAGCAGGAAGGGCAAGGAGACACCCAACCTCTCAGTTTCAGAGTCGGGTAAATGGATGCAGGGCTTGGAAGGGATTTTCCAAGGGCAGCAGGTGATCAGGGCAGAGCTGAAACTCCAGCTTATGGGCCTAGACAGCCAATACAGTGCCCTGTCTGTGCCTTCACTCCACCTGTGTGCCAGGGCCTGGTACCATGTTGGGCAGTGATGGTGTCTTGTGTCTCTCAGGGTCTGAGTTCTGTAGACCCACTTGTGGGCTATAGGCCTGGAGCGGTTCCACACTGAGTGCCTGATAACCAGGGTTGCTTCCTGGGGAATTCACTCATTGATTCATTTGTTCACACAACAAAACTAGGTGAATAAGTGAAGGCAAAAACAAGAGGTGTGCAGAGGTCATTTTGGCTCAAAGCCAGATGTCCATGTGGAGGGGACATGGACACTATATGGCCCTATGTAGTTTCTTCTGCTACCCCAGCCGCTTGTACACGTCCGGATTGGGATAGAACACGTTTTTCCATATTGATGGGGGGAAGGGACTTCACTCTTGAACTCTATTGTTGCCTGTGATCTTTGTAGAAAATTGCTAACACTGCTGGGTGTCAAACCACCAACTCAGCTGTCATGGTTCACTGTCTGCGACAGAAGACGGAAGAGGAACTCTTGGAGACGACATCGAAAATGGTTAAGTTGTCTGCTCCTGTAGCCCAAATCCTGTAAACTTGGTCCCAGACTTCTTCATTTCAGCTGTCCTCTTGCCCTGGGACTGTTACCTGGGACAATTTTTCAAGTCTCTGGAGTCTCAGTATCTAAACAGGGAATCTAATTTGTTCTTTTTTATTGAAAAAATGGCACAAATGTTAAAAAAAAAAAAAAGTCCGAAAACAACATGATAAAAAATTGACCAAATTTGACATTTGACCAAAATTTAATATTTTGCCATTCTTGTTTTCAGATGTATTTTTGAGAAACTAAACTACATATTCCAGGGGGACACCAACATCCTGAATTTGGGGAATGGAGATATTAAGCTCAAAGATTTTCAGAAAGCAGTCACAATTTATTTTCGTTGACTTAAAAACTCTCAGTATTAGACCTGGTAGTGGTCCAGTTTTCTAGATTTTCTGAGACTCTGACTCAGTTGTCATTCTAGGATAGTCATCCACCCACTCAATCATGAATCCATCCACTATGATCTTCTTATGAATCTATCTGTTCACTAATTCATCCAATTCACTGATATCTTTTTATCAATCTAACATCAACTTCTTCACAACTTTTTATCTATTTTCAATCTATCTACCATTCATGCATCATCCAGCCACCATATATCTTAACTCTGTCATCCACTCCTCCAAAATCAACAATCCAGTTATCACCTATCTGTTAGTTTTCACCCATCTATTCGTGTATCCATCCAATTCAACTGTACTCCAGGTATTGGCGAACCCATCCATTCCACCATTTATCCACCCATCCATCCATGATAAGTATGTAGGGGTGGGTGTTAGAGGTAGTGAAACAGACATGAAGGGGACATACTCCCCGCTCACAAGGAACTATCCAGAGAGAAACACATTCATATACTTCGCAGGTTGACTATGGTGGCAGCACAGAGGGGACGCATTCATTATAGTCATCAGGGATGCTTCACAGGGAAGGTGGAGGAGCTGGGTTTGAGACCAGACAGAGGAATTTGGGAGTTCATGCCCTTAACCCTGATTCCACCTTATCTTTCTTGAGAAATTCAGCTTTGAGATCATTGTGCCCATTTTAATAGAGGTAACAAAGACAGATGAATTTTGTAATTGGCTCATGTCATGGTTCCAGTTAGTCAGAGGCAACACTGTGGGACCCAGAACCCACACCTGCAGGTCTAGAATATCTTCTGCCGTTCCTGCTGTCCTCACATATTAGGACTTGGGGATCTTTAGGATTCATGGATGGCTGTGGCAGTCGCTCATCACAGGGAAGCCCAGCAGGACAAACACCCAGACGACACAGCACCCATTGGGAACTATTCCCTTTGAGGGGGAAGGGTGTGAATTCCAAGTTCAGGAGTTGCCTGGTCTCTCTCCTTGGACCTGAGGCTACTCCTGGGTCTCAGGGCCAGCCTCTACCACTGGACTCTGCTTGTGTTTCCATGGGTTGAGTCCAATGTGGTCTTGGAGCTTAAGTCTTGGCTCAGGCTCTAAATGATCAGAGTGTTCAAGGAATTAAAACACACCTGTTTTCTAATGCCTGGAAGGAGGCAAATATTCCAGCAATTCTGCATGTGGCATCAGACGACTCAGCTTAAAAGGAAAAAGTTGGTGACTTCGGGAAAATCCAGCCCTAAGATTCTGGGACATCCTTCTGAGATTTTCTGAGATCTTGTGGAAGTGCCTCCATGATTACCCACTGCCTCCAGTACACACACTGGACACACACATAGAGAAACACACACAGAAACACACACACAGAGACACACACAAACACACACACAGACACACAGACACACACACACACACCCCTAGCTAGTGGGACTACAATCCTTAATGGAGAGACCTGCATTGGTTACTTCCTGTGAACAGGTCAGACATGTGAGCTACAGTGCAATGCTACAATGACTGCAATCTTCGTGAACACACACCAAAGAGAAGCATGGGGTAGGGTGAGTTTCAGTGGGTTGTATGAGTCAGAGCTGTGTAATGGGAGATGAGAAAACTCCCCCAAGGTGCCTTGAATGGAAAAAGGAATGCGTTGGAATAGCATCCTCATGTTAACTGAATAACTCAGGAGTTGAGAGCTTCAGGCATTGCTGGATCCAGATGCCTATAGGATGTTATTGAGAATCTACCATTCTCTATCTTTCCTCTTTGCACAACTCTGTGTTGGCTTCACTCTTAGGCGGATATGTCTCCTGGGAAGGGTAAAGACAACCGTGCTCTAGAGTTATATCCTATCTACTTAGAAACCCTTTTTCCAAATAATTCCTGCAAAAGTTCTGTGGTAAACTTTATTGGACTGTCATGGGTGTATGCCTATCCATGCACTAGTATCCGCGATCAGGGAGATGGAGCACCCCAGTTATCTTATAGATACCTGAATTCATGGAGCGATAGGGGAAGAAAGGGGTTCCTGAAAAAGAATGGGGATGTTCTTCCCTGGGGAACAGAAAGGGGAGAGGGATGGGGGATAGGGCAGGCTCCAAAAGCAGGTGTCCTATCCAGAGCTCTAGCAACCCTGGTTCAGAGTCCCTGGCCCATCCTTCCCATGCTGGTGCCCACCGCTCCATTCTACGCCTTCACCCTGTGCTCAGGCCTAGCAAAGCCAGAGTCCTGCCCACTTCCTCTGGGCCCAGCCAGCTCGGCACCAAGAGGGAGAACCTGACACCTCTGTTGCCCCAGTCACCCAGCTCAGTGTTCTCCTGGGAAGCCTCTCACCCACATCCTCTGTCGTTGTCTTCACAGAATTTCTTAACTCTGGACTTCCATGGAGACCCCAGAAAGGTAAAGACCTTTTGCTTCTTGATTACAGGTTTTGAGTCTTAGCACCTTTAAGCTCCAATTAACTGTGAGAGAAAGAATCCTCTCTCGGGTAATTATAGTAACTCCTGTGTGATTGATACTGAGACCCAGAGAGGGGTAGTGTCTCACCTGGGTAACACAGCCAGGAAGACTAGTGGCAGGCCTAGTGCAGGTGGTTTCCATTTAAGTAGCAGGATCCTGGAATGGCTCAATGAGAAGGTGGCATTTGAGCCAAACTCTGGAGGAGGCAGGAAGCCAGCTGTCAGGAAACCTGGAGAAGTCTATTCCAGGCAGAGGGAACAGCCACTGCAAAGACCCTGACAGAAGTGGCAGGTCTAGCTGGAGAGGACCGAGTGTGGGGACAGACTTGCTTGAGGGTAAAGAGGTAATGGGAAGTGGGAGAGGGATCATTTAAAGTAGTTGAATTTGGATTCAGAGCAAGGTGGGAAGCCTTTGGAGGTTTTGAACAGAGGAGTCACATGATATTAGATTTCACAAAGGTCTCTGCCCCTGGTGCTCAAATAGACTGTAGGAAAGGGGCAGAGTGGATGCATCTGACCAGCTGGGCAGCCACTGCATTGCCATAATCCAGGCAAGGGCTTCTGGCTGCTTAGGGCTGTAGTAGTGGGGATGGGAGGAGTGGTTGGAGTCTGGATATCTTTGAAGGAATAGCTGAGAGGATTCGCTGATGGACCGGATGCAAGGGGTAAGAAAGGGAGAGGAGTAGAGGATGCCCTGAGTTTTCTGACACAAGCAGGGTCATGCCCACACAGGGCAATCACTTGCAAACTCTGAGTGGACAACAATCACTTGTCATGGTTACTGATGGCAGTCTTCCCACTTGGCTACCACCCAACTGGGGCAATCCTGTCTCTCTCCTCAACTTTTATCCTCCTGTACTTCACATCCCCTCCCCATTTCCATGTCTCATGGTGCAGCCAGACTGGCCTTCCTTAACAGAGATAGAGCACGTCACCCTGACTTCTTAAAAGCCTGATCTTCCTTATGAGACAAATCCCCTTCCCTCCATGAAGTTAGTCCTTCAAAACACACCTGCATGCGCGCTATGTGCCAGACTGTGCAGAAGGTAGGCTGTGCACCTGTCCCTCTCTCTAGACCCTGCCCCACGGCATCCGTCCAAGCCCAGGACTCTTGGGTATTTCTGGAACTGGCCCTGCACAGAGACACCTGTATTCTTTTGCTCATGCAGTTCCCACTGTTTAGAAATTCTCACTCCTTTCCTCACCTGTCAATATCATTCACTGCCCAGAGCCTACCGCAGGCGGGCAGCGCCTCCTCCATGTAGCCTGCCTTGCATCTTCCTTTCAGAGGGGCTGCTCTTGCTGGCCTCCCATGGCAGCCCTGCCTGAACTGCACAGCCTCTCAAGGCACCCAGACTTGCACCCCAATCCTGTTCTGCATTGTCAGCCATATTGGGTTAGGATCTGCACCTTGTCCAGCTGGATCTGGTTCACTTTACAGAACATCTCTCCCAGGCAGCCCGAACTACCTCGTCAGTCATTGGCTTTTGTAGAGCAGACCAAAGGTCCTGGAAGCTATAGGGTCTCAAAGGCTAAGAATTGTCCAGTTCCATCTGATCTCCAGGAGGGAAATACAGTCCATGGGGCGTGGAACTGGGAAGATGGCACAGAGGACTGATGTCTCTGAGAGGGACCCGCAGCAACCCTGCTAAAAAGTAATACCTAACATTCATTCAGCCCTTCCAGACACGAGGTGCTGTGCTAAGTATTTTACATGTGTTCAGCCATTTAATCCTCACAATAACTCACCTCTTAGATGAGAAAACTGGGGCCCACACAGGTGAAACCCAACCAGTAAGTAGCAGAGCCAGGCTTCAGATGGTGTTAATCTGCTTTCAATGTCCATGCTCCGTTTTTAACACCACTGTGACTAAATATGAAATATAAAAATATAACTGTACCCAGAACCAGCTGCCCTGATGGCAACATGTGAGTCAAGCTGTCTCTAATCTGTGACCATAGATAAATTATTTGTCAAAGGTAAAACCTAAAATGGGGATATGGATGAATATACTGTGAGTTCATCATTGATTCTTTTATTCATGATTTTCTCTCTAATAGGGCATCACATCCTAGTCTAGGCTCCTCGAGTGATGAGGGTTCAGTACCTCTTCAAAGCCACCCATGGATCAACATCAGCTCTTATTTAAATACAGATGGATAGCACAATCTCTCCTCATTAATCACAGATTCTGCGTTTATAAATTCACCTGCTTACTAAAATTTCCTTGTAACCCCCAAATCGATACTGGTGGCACTCTCATGGTCACACACAGGCAGGCACAGAGCAGGGGAAACTGGATTTGCATGATGGGCACGTTCCATCTGAGATCCGGCGAGGCGACCTTTGTCTTCTTGTTTCATCTCTTATGCTAACAAGTGTCCTCTTCGCGGTCTATTTAGTGCCATGTGTTCTGCATTTTTGTGCTTTTTGTGGTGATGTCACTGTTAAGAGTAGCCCCCAAGAGTAGCGCTGCTGGCTGGCGTTCCTGAGCTAAGCAGGCTGTGCTGTGCCTTACGGGGAAGGCCCCTGTGTGAGACAAGCTTCGGTAGTACTGCTGGCCATGCATTCAGTGTTGAAAAATCTGCAAAACTGCACATCCAGGAAAGCTGTCTCTTATACACATCTAGATGTGTATAAGAGACAGATTTAGTGCCATGTGTTCTGCATTTTTGTGCTTTTTGTGGTGGTGTCACTGTTAAGAGTAGCCCCCAAGAGTAGCGCTGCTGGCTGGCGTTCCTGAGCTAAGCAGGCTGTGCTGTGCCTTACGGGGAAGGCCCCTGTGTGAGACAAGCTTCGGTAGTACTGCTGGCCATGCATTCAGTGTTGAAAAATCTGCAAAACTGCACATCCAGGAAAGAAGGAGGAAATTGGCCAGTTCATACGTGAGGCTGTGATGGGAAGTGCTAAAGTAACACCTACTGTATGTGATGGAGATGTGGAAAGATGGAAAAGCAACTACATTGGGAGATTCATGAGATGATGAAGGAATTTTTAAAAAGCAGGGTGGACAGCACTGTTGTGAAGTAGAAAACTAAGGAAATTTGAAGTCATGTTACCCAGGGTCACAAAAATGGGAAAGGCTTTCCAGCTGGTGTTTTATTAAAAACAATCCTACTTATAATTCACTCTTTGTAAGACTTATATATTATGTAAAGTGTCTTTCAACAGAAAACCACACATAAAGGAAAGTTGATGAAAATATTGTGACCAGAGGTTTGCAAGAATCTAACCCAGTATTTCCCCTTTGAGTGATGACTCTTTATTCTCTAATTCAGCACTCATGGGAGTTTTATCGGAAGCAACTGCCGGGACTACCAAAAATCAACTATGGACAGAGAGAGGGAAATGCGTGCGCTTCCAATTGAAATACATAGGCATGTAATTTTATATAGATAATACATGTATTTCAGTCTGAGTGAAGATTTCTTCCTCTCCTCATCATCTGACCAGTGTCAGCCTCTGCCTGAGGTTCTACCCTTGAGCCACACACCTACCCTCCTTAGTTAGGACCCTGAGTGTGTGTAGCCATGGTCTATGGTCACGCCGGTCTGGGGTGCGGGTCTCACCCTCAGACAGGCAGAGTTGGGGACATGAGTGTGACCTTGGGTGAAAATCACAGGCGCTGTGCTGCTCTCTCCCCCAGAGGTACCCCCACACGCCCACCGTGATTGATGGAGTGGTGCTGCCAAAAACACCTGAGGAGCTTCAAGCTGAAAGGAAGTTCCTCACTGTCCCCTACATCGTCGGAATTAACAAGAAGGAATTTGGCTGGTTTCTTCCAACGGTGAGAAGGCACAGGCCTCTTGGAGGGACTCACCCACCCAAATCAGCCCTCCTGTCTCTGGTCCCAGGAGTGTTTCCCTCTCCAAGCACCACTCTGAGTCCTGGGCAGCTGTTCCCTTCAGCAGGAGTTACCACTTCCATGGAAACCTTCCCCAGGAGGGGACAGTTGTCACTGGGGTTTCAGGGCTCTGGGATCCTCTCTCCCCAGACTCTCTGATTGTCTTCCTATTGAAGAATCCTGAAGTGTCTGTGCTGGGAGGGTCAGTAAAGAAAATAACTGTGCAGATGGGAAAACTGAGGGAGCCTAGGAGGGGGAAGGAGCTGAGGAGTCTGGAGAGGCAGTCAGGGACTTTCTGGCTTCCCACCTAGGGTTGGGTATGCATAGTTCCCCCATAAATCACTCGTGGTCTTCATCACCTCATTGAAAAGATCCAAAGAAAGTGGCTTCTTTTGATTTACCATTGACTTCTAGTGTACAGTAGATACCAGTGTCTACTTGAGAGATGACGGACAGAGGAGGGTGAGAATGGAAAAGTTACCTAATCAGGTGCTATGCTCAATACCTGGTGACAAAATAATCCATACAGCAAACTCCAGAGACACAATTTACCCATGTAACAAACCTGCACATGTACCCCCAAATCTAAAATAAAAGTTGAGGGAAAAAATGAAAAAAAAAAAAGATTGACTTCTAAAAGCAAAAAAAGTGTTCTCCTTCCAGTCGAGGACACACAAAACTGACCATGATTAAAGCAGTAGGACAGAATTTATTCGGTAACATGATT